GGCGTTTTTTGTTTTCCTATTCCCTTTTTGTGTCTTTTTCGGTAGCCGCTCAGAGGCTGGCCTAGGATGCCCTCTTCCAGGCGTAACCATGCATGTATGATGATAGAAGAGGAGGAGATTTCGGAGGAGGAGGAGGAGGAGGAGAAGGAGAAGTGGAAGTGGAAGTCGGAGAGAGATGAAGGGAAAGGGAGGCCTTTGGTTCAAACAGTACGAGCTACCTACTCTTATAATTTTTGACATCTCGTCCTTTCAAAGCTTCCTCGCGATACTCGGTGGCGATTCCACAGAGTTGTTGTTGTTATCTTTCTTGACTTGGTGATGCTCCTATGTTATGATTAAAGCTCGATTGCCCGGAAAAATCCCACCATTCCATCATTCCACCAGCTAGCTGACGATGCTCAAGCATTTGTTCGTCCGCTTGATAGGTGATTCACAAGCGATGTTCGATGGATACCCCATCGCGTTGGTAGACTCGGCCAGTGAATGCCCTGATGGCGGTGCGTCGAAGCTGAACAAGCCGACGGAGATCATTTTGATTGACTTCTAGAAGAATAGGTGCTCGCGTTGTGGTACAGGAATACTCGGCTCACGTGCCAGATCACCCGAAGGTTATGTGCTTACACACCCTCAGCAGCCTTCGATGTCACCCCAGTACCCTCCGCGCCCGCGGCCACCGTCTCAGGCCCTCCAGAAGACTCAGCACTCGCATTCGCCTCCCGAGTGACAGCCGCCGCATTCAACCTCTGATCCAGAGCTTTCAAAGCCAACGCCCTCCTGCGCTCTGCCTCTGCCCTCTTCCCTCCTCCACCACTGCCGCCACCACCACCCTGCGTCATGATACTCGGCAACCCACCCTCAGACCTCGACGCCGCATTCTCCGTCGCAGTCTCAATCGCCGAATCCGAAAAAGGCGTGCACAACTTCATCTGCACGAGCGCCTCATAAACCGAATCACAAAGCGGCGATAACACAGGATGGAAAACATCCGGGAAGAAAGAAACGAAACTGAACGTCTCGCTGGGATCGCCTTGCATCCTCCCGCCGTCGCCACCCGTTGCCGAGCCCGTGGCGCCGATGTCTGAAATCCGGTAGAAGCGCAAGTAGAGCCATCCCGTCAGGAAGCCGAACAGAGCCAGCCAGGTCGCGGTATCGGTGCCGAGCAGGGGACCCGAGAGCATATTCGCCAGCACGAACAGGGCGGGGAAGTGCTTGATGCGGATGCGCAGGAGCGAGTTGAACAGGCTGACGGTGTGTTCGGGGACGAGCTGTTTGAGGGAGACGAGGAAGGCGGCGCTGAGGGCTAGGAGGCCGTTGATTGGTGTTGGGCTAACATGTATGTAATTAGTATGCTTGTGATGTTTTAAGTGTTAGGATACAACAAGAAAACTCACTGTTCCGGCGTATTCGAAGCCACAACTTGCCAAACGCCATACACGAAAAACGCCAGCAAATTCGGAATCATAGTGACAAACAGCACAAACTTCGCAAACTCCTGCCCGCCCCAGGCCCTCTCAAGATATTTGCCCCCGAACCAAACAACAGCGGAGGAAATCGCCAGCGAGACGATATTATTCTCAATCAGCGCGCTGGTCAGGAACGTCCAAGGGAATTTGAGGGATGTAGTGGGGATGAGCACGAGGTAGGGGATTGCCCATAGTGGAGAGGTCAGGTAGATTGATGGTGCTGTGGCGGACTGCTCGTTTGTTGGCGTGCTGGCGGACCAGGAGCGGAAGCGAAGAACCGCGTTTAGGGCGGAGAGGGAGAGGAGGGTTAGGAGGAGGGCGCGGGTTAGTGGGGGGAGGTTGATTCTTGGTGGCATCTTTTTTTTGTTAGGGATTCATGGAGATGTGAGGTATAGTTATGTAAGTGAAAGCGAAATGGTCAACGTGAAGTCCAACGCGCCAGGCAAGCAAGCAACGTTGAAGCCCAGACCGGGATGTGCAACGCGGACGCGGAAATCCCTTGCGCTAGCGCGGCCTTGCATAAGGCGGATCTGCAATCATCGTGTACTACGATTTCGATACCAAGATAGGCAGTATGGCACGAGGGATGTGGTCGTTCTGGCCAAACATGCAATTACATGAACACGAAGTGCAATATTCGACTTCGTCGATCTATCCCGCTTTGGTCACAATACTAGGGGTATCAGTCAGGTCATATACAAGTAGGCTACGTAACGCCTATGGGCTCATGGCACCATTGGCATGGTTCTCGTCGCTGGCACGAGACAAGGGCGGCCGGAAAGTT